GGGAGGTGATAACACGAGAAGTGAGGGGTGTGTCCACAGCAGTAACCAAGTCTGTTTTTCATACCCATGGACCCTACTTTTCACTCTTTACTCACAGTTTTGTTTTTTTGCAATGCTTTCTTGGTTCCTAGTTCTCCTATGGCCCCAAACCACTCTCTCTTTTGACTGAACTGTTCTCATTGGCCTTCAGACATCCTCTGGTTTCTTTCATCTTAAAAAAAAAAGACCTTCACTCTCTGTCCTGTTCCAGCTTTGGCCTCCTTTCATTTTCCCTCCTCTCGTAGCCTTCTACACCTCAGTTGATTACAGTTCCATCCATCCTTCCTCTCACTTAGCCTAAAAACCTTAGGGTCACGCTTGACGCCTTTTATTTCATACCCTGTGTACAATCTGTCAGCAAAATCCTGTCATCTCCTTTTTCAAAATATATCCAGAGTCAGATGACTTCTCACCATCACCTCTACACCACTCTGGTCTGAGCCACCAGCATTTCTCATCTGGACTAATGCAGTAACTTCCTCTCTGGTCCCCTTTTGGCTGCCATCCTATTGTGGCTTCTGCCCAGCTCTCCTCAGCCTCCATATCTGTTTCAATCAGATTGACTTTCATGATGCTCTTCATACATAGATCTTGTCCTGGCTCAGGGCCTTTGCTCTTATTGTCCTCTCTGGAGCGCTCTTTCTTCTTATATCCTCAGAGCTCCCTCTGTCATCTTTTGGTCTCTGCTCAGATGTCAACTCAGTGACATTCCCTTCGCCATCCCTCTGCATCCCCTTAACCTCCTTTATTTTTTTTCACATAACATATCACTATCTGACATACTGTTTTATGTATTTTATTTGTGATGTCTCCACAACTAGAATGAAAGCCACATAAGGGGAGGAGTTTTTGTCTCTTTCGTCCGCTGCTTTATCCCCAGCACCTAGAACAGTAGCTGGCACAGAATGAATCCTTTATAAATATTTGTCAAAGGACTGAATGTGGAGGAGTAAAGTGAGGGATAGCAAGAGGAAATCAAAACTCACCCTTGAGTTGACTGGGAAAGAAGCCTCAAGGGTCACCCCATGTGTGATAGCGAGCACACTTCAGAGGGCCCACTGTAAGCCAAACCTGACCATCCTTTCTGTGCCTAAACTCATAGGTGCCAGAGGAGGCTGATTACGAGGCAGTCCCTGTGGAGGCCTATGGGCTGGCTATGCTGCGGGGCATGGGATGGAAACCTGGCGAGGGCATTGGCCGCACCTTCAATCAGTGAGTTGTAGGGTAGGGGCAAGGGGACAGCAGATGGGCCAGGGAACAAGACCTGCATGATTACCACCCACCCAGAACCATCCAGGCAGGGAGAGGATGCATTTCCACCCTGAGTATTTCAGTAGCCCCTTCCACTACTGTTCAACCTCCTTTTGCCCTTCAAAACCCCGTAACCTAACAAGATCTCATTTACGTAAAGATTGCCTGTCTGGGCATCAGCCTTCTCAGCTGAAAAATGGGGATAATGACAGTACTCACTTCCCAAGTCTGTTGTGAGAGTTAAGTGAAATGATGCACATTAAGCACTTTACAGTAAGCCCTGGCCCCAGATAAGCACATACTATATATTTGCTATTGTTATCACATGGGCTTACGATCCCTTCTTCCACAGTTTTAAACTCTCCAAAAATCTGAAAACCAAACTTTTTTTTTTCCATAAAACAATTGGTAGTCAAGTGTAACCTGAATTGACACTGAGTATTTTATGTTCTGTTTCTTCTGCTTGGTGAATAGTCATATGGTTTCCCCTGTGGAAATATTAGTATATTTGGTTATTGGAACCTGCCTCAGATCCCACTAGAGATACTGTGTAATAGAGGGTATGCACAACATGTTACTAGGTTAAACCAAATGAAATTGCCATTTCTGTCCTAATATGAGATTCGCAAGGATATTCTGGAACATATTGATAGGGTGGGATTTGGGCAGTGGTTGGGGGTAGGGGTGGGGGACGGGGCCTTGAAGACAGATGCATCCCCCACAACAAGCCCATATCCTGTGTTCCCTGCAGAGTGGTGAAGCCTCGTGTCAACGCACTGAGGCCCAAGGGTTTAGGGCTGGGCGCCAGCCTGACTGAGGTCCAGGCCCTGGCCCCCATGGGCCCCCACCGGCTGCCGAGGCCAGATGAGCAAGAGAAGGATAAGGAAGACCAGCCTCAAGGACTGGTGCCTGGAGGAGCTGTGGTGGTTCTTTCTGGCCCTCACCGTGGCCTCTATGGGAAAGTAAGCAACCAGGATGTGCCTGGAGCCTGAGACAGGCAACAGGGACGATTGATGTGAGGGTCAGAGGGCAGAAGAATTGAGTCTTGGGTAGGAAAGCTGGAAGTCTTTGTCTTTCAGGCCTTCCTGGCCCACCGCCTCATTCAGTAACTCAAGACTATTTGTTGGGCCTGTCTTGAGCCTCAGCTTCAACTAAAAGGGAGAGAATCCTTATGCCACAAGTCCCTGAGGATTAGATACTTAAAATAGATCCAAGCCCCACGGTCTGCTGGGGGAGACACAGGGGTGAGGCCTATCAGAGGTAGGGACAGACAGTTTGGTTTTAGGACTGTGGGTCAAGTTCACTCAACCCCTGCCTCCCTTCTTCCCCACAATACTTTAGGTGGAAGGCCTCGATCCTGACAATGTTCGAGCCATGGTCCGTCTGGCCGCAGGGAGCCGCATGGTGACTGTTAGTGAGTACTGCCTGCGGCCTGTCTCCCAGCAGGAGTTTGACAAGAACTCCTTGGATCTCAGTGAGTGAGCCTCTTACCTAGCTGGGGAAATTGGAGAGGCATTCCTGGGGGTGGTAGGGCCTATCTTGGGGGCAGAGGTTAGATCTGCAGAGGGGTGGAACAATGGACTGCTGGCAAGGGTGATTTCTGGTCAGAGTTAAGAAGTGAGAATGAACATAAGTGGTATATTCCATTTAATTGAAAAAAGATTGATCTAGTAACTCTTTAGCCAGCCTCCTTCTGAGGCAGGAGAAACAGATGTGGAAACCATTTCCTACCCTTGGGAGGTCTTTATTTGGGGTGGTGAACCTCTCTTTTGCTAGGGAGTGAGAGCAGCTAGGACTAGATGGTGATGGGGAGGAAGGCATTTTAGGCATATCGGTGGGATGGGCCAGTTTGGCTCGTGGGAGATGGGTGCTGTCAGCTCTCCAGGACTCCCTAGCCCATACTAGGCGGTTGGCTCAGGTAAGCACTGTCAGGACTGGCTGGAATGGTAGAGGAAGGCTTCCTGACAGAGGCTGAGATGGTTGAGAGGAAGGGGAGAGTGTTCTAATAGCCCAGGCCAAAGCTTGATGGTACGAGGGGGCATTTTGGCAGATGGGAGGTGGTCTGAGGCTGGGGTGTGGCCTGGAAGGAAAGAGGGTGAGATACTGAGTCTCTTTTCTGGTTCTCCCCACACCCTCTTGAACAGACCAGGTGAGCAAAACCTCAGGGCAACAGAACGGAACAGCCTCATCACGAAAGGCTCTTCGGAATCAGGACCTCCACGGCCGGCAGGTGGACTCAGAGAGGAAGCGGAAACACCTTCCAGACCGGTAGGACCCTGGGCATCTGGGATGGGGGTAGGGGGAAGATCATGGTGAGGCTCCAGCAGTCAGAGAAAGCTTCCCCAGGGCAAGGCACGTGCCTGGAAGGAACTAGGAACAGCATTATGGGTGGGTTTCACAGCATTGGTGAAGGTGGTGTGCCCAGAACGTGCCTCTGATAAAGAGCTAAGCCTCCTGTCGGCCCCTCTCTACAGACAGGATGGGCCTGCAGCCAAGAGTGAGAAAGCAGCCCCCAGGAGTCAGCACTGGTTGCACAGGGACCTGCGCGTGCGGTTTGTGGACAAGCTGCACAAGGGCGGCCAGTATTACAACACCAAGGTGGGAACCCCGCACCTGCGTCCGCTTCCTCCCCCAGGGACTGGGCCTCCTTAGCTCTCTGACACTCTCATATCCCCGACCCTCTCCCCAGATGACAATTGAAGATGTCCTGAGCCCAGACACTTGTGTGTGTCGGACAGATGAAGGCCAGGTCCTGGAAGGTGAGTCTGAGGGATGGCCACTGGGTTGTCATCCTGGACACTGATCGAGAAGGCTGTCATAGGCCAAGAACCTGGCCCAGGCAAAGGCTGGGAGGTTGGGTTTTTTGCAAGGCCCAGCATCCTCTAACAGAATGTCAGACACTTCTATGATGGTGAATATCTGAGCCCCACTTTCTCCATCTGCACAGTTAACACCTGTTTCTCCCCCTCTGTGACTGGTGCCTTGTAGGGATGTGTGCTCTGTGTGCAGGGCAGGGCATACAGCATGCCTATGATAAATGGTGTCTGAGGTGTATTTTTCTTTTAATTTAAGTATAGTTGATTTACAATGTTTCAGGTATACAGCAAAGTGATTCAGTTATATATATATATGTAAATCTGTTCTGTTATCACCCCCAGCCATCACCATCAAATATAAATGCTCTCTTTATTACAACTATTCCCAGGAACCACTCGTTAGGTTTCCTGTCCGTGAAATGGATGTGGGGAACTCCCATCTGTTAACAGGTACAGAGTAGCTCCAAGGAACACAGGAGAGGCCCTTCTGATAGGACCCTGGCTGGGCTGCCCTTGCTGGGGGCCTCACTCCCCTCTCCTTGTCTGCAGGCCTGAGGGAAGACATGCTGGAGACCCTGATCCCTAAGGTCGAGGGCAACCGGGTGATGGTGGTGCTGGGGCCACAGGCTGGAAGGGTGAGTCCCAGACCTGGGAATGGAGGGTAGGGGCACACAGGGAATGTCCCAGGGTCTGCATTGGCCTTGCTGACTCCTCCCGCCCCTACTCTAGGTGGGCCGTCTGCTGGACTGGGACAGAGAGCGGAGCCGGGCTCTGGTGCAGCTGCAGAGAGAGAATGAGGTGGTAAAGCTTCACTATGATGCTGTCTGCCAGTATGTGGGCCCCAGCGACTCGGATGAAGACTGACCTGTGGACACACTCCCATCCCCCAGGCTGTTACCAGTCCTGCACGGTGTGGAGAGACTGCCTTCATGAAGGTGGGGAGGTTGTTGTTCTGCCCTCCGCTTTGCAGCGCAGCCCTGGGACAGGGTGAGGGCACAAGCTGGATGGACCAGAAGGGAGGCTAGAAGCCAACCCAATATTTACCAGAAGTTAGTGTATAATAAAAACCATTTCAAATACCAAGTAAAACGAAGAGATCGTAAGTGGTGTGCTGCGCTGTGAGAGGAGGCAGGAGCCAGGCTGATTGAGGTGGGGACTATTCCATTTTTCAGCCCCACTGCCTTGCTTGGGCAGCTAGCCAAGCGGAAGGATCCATTCGCTCCCACGCTCACTGTTGGAGTCCGGAAGTTATGAAATCTGTCCCCAGCAGGTACTATGAAGTCTGGAAGGCCACATCCCTGGACAACTTCCTGGGCAAGAATCTAGCAGGCTCTGCTCTTACTCTTGGTCCAGAGCAGATGCCCAGAGATTATCTTGAGCCTGTGACAGGGGTCAAGAAGAAGGGAGGCTTCTACCCACCAAGGGGATGTGTTAGCACTACTTTCCAGAGGACCCAGTTAACCTTGGGGCCCCCATTTTAGTCCCAAAACTTTGGCTTGAAAGTAAAAAAGTTTTGTCTGTCTCAGGTAGAATTTCCCTGGTTGCTTCAGGTAACTGGATTCTCAAAAAGTTATTGTCAGAGAATCCTTTTTCCTACTCAGTGGCCTAAGATAAAAAATCAACAAAGGAAGAAGAAAAAATCAAAGGAAGTCAGAGTTTTAGACACAACTGTTTCTAACTCATCCCTCATCACTAAGTCGTTGATGTAATTAGTTGTATTTGAGTTAGATCTAGGCCTCTGGTATAAACTGACACTTCAGAACATGGCACAGCACGGGAGAATTTGAATAGTTCTTGTACAGGATGACATGAGCTGCCGTCCCTGCTAAGCTGAGGCAGACTGCTGTTTTGAGCCAAAATAAGCAAGGTATAGAAAAACAGTGAGTTGGCCAGACCAATGGCCGTATACCCAGTAAGGCAAGGGATGATTAGAAAACCTTCCAGCGTAGTAACCCCTACATGAGGGACACTGGCACAGAGTGATTTACTTTTTTTGATCGTCCCTAATTAATTCCAGAACTCATCTGTTTTCAAGATTAGCCAAAAAGGGTTGTTAAGGCCGACACTGGAGAACAAATTCCCACCCCCATGCCCCCAGTTCCTCCAGTTCTTAAGTCATCATTGTGACTGCACACACTGCCCTAGAACTGCAGGCTGACGTGTATTTTTTTTAATTTAAGTATAGTTGATTTACAGTGTTTCAGGAGTACAGCAAAGTGATTCAGTTCCATATATATATATATATATATACACATATATATGTACATATATATATACACACATATGTAAATCTCTTCTTTTTCAGATTCTTTTCCATTATAGGTTATTACAAGATATTGTATAGCTCCCTGTGCTATACAGTAAGCTGAGTTGTATTTTTAATCTTGGGAAAGGTTGGGAGTTCTAGAGGTTCCCAGTTTGGCATGTCCAGGAGTCAGTTTCCTGTGCTGTCATGTGTGAAGCCTAGTCAAGAAGGCCTCCTCCTAGGGTTGGGTATTAGCTCAGTGGTAGAGTGTGTGCTTAGCTTAGCATGCATGAAGTCCTGGGTTCAGTCCACAGTACCTGCATTTTAAAAAAAAAGAAGGCCAGGGAGTGGGGTGGGAAGGGATAAACTAGGAGTTCAAGATTTGCAGATATATATATTTTATATATATGGTATATATAAAATAGATAAACAAGTTTATACTGTATAGCGCAGGGAACTATGTTCAATATCTTGTAGCTTACAGTGAAAAAGAATATGAAAATGAATATATGTATATCCATGTATGACATTGTGCTGTACACCAGGAATTGACACAACATTGTAAACTGACTGTACCTCTGTGAAAAAAAAGAAGGCCTCCTCCTTTCTCCAAATCATAATAAATTTCTTGGTAGTATCCTTGAGAAGGATATAAAGCTCCCCAGGGAAAGGCATTGTCCCTCTGGGTCTGCCCTGCAACGTGGCATCACCTGGCAGTTTCAGACAATCCCTCCATCTCCTCCATGTGCCGTGACACTTAAAATAGATCTTGCACCAGATTCCAATCTCCTAGAGTTAATGTTTCTCCTGAGCCTGCCTTTGGAAATGGGACCTGAAGTTCTTGAATATGGCCCGGTGTCCAGAACACCTAGCCCATGGCAGAACGCCTGGTCCCCCAGAGCAGATCATCAGATTTTTTTGTGTTTCCTCAGAGAGGATCCCTCCTGATCCCTCAGTTTGAGAACAGAGCTCCTTAAGTTCTGGAAAATGTAGACAGCATCAGGAGGCTTTCCCAATCTGTGCTTTGTTCATTGTGCACAAAGACTTGGTCCTAAAGACCCTTTGAGTCTGCGCAGCTTTCTCGGCTGTTACCCCTTGGGCAACGGTTACTGCAGCAACAGCTTCTGTGAGCCCATGAACTCTCCATGGACCGCTCACAAGCCGAGGACCATGACCCATACCGTTTATCCAGACTGGCTTCTTCCACATCATAGGGACTGAGCAAGATGTGGGTGCAAAAGCATCTGTCTCTTCTGCCAAGTCTCCAGAAGCTTCCCTGGCAGGGTGCTGCCTCTGTTTAAAAAACTATCCAGACACTGAGCCAGGAATTTGTGGCATCAGACTCGAGAAGCAGCTTCTTTCTTTGCCTTTCAGAGAGAAGTGGGTGATGGGGACTACTGCCTGGGGCTGACCTTGATGGCGGGTATATACAGGTAGGCTCTCATTTCTGACATTTCTTCCTCAGCTGGAGGATGCTCCCCTCCATTCCCACACTGGGGCCTTTTAACTCCCATGTTTGTAGCATCACACAGTGAGGTGAAGTGTGCAACAACTTGGAAAGCTATGTGAGGGGGACTGCGTCCTCACCAGGTGCCCCTATGGTTCCAATTCATTCAGCAAGGATCTCTGGAGCCCCTACTGTATGCCAAGTACTGTTCTGCAGGCTAGGGATACAGTAAAGCATACATCATTCATTCAACAATTATTGAGTCCCTACTTGATGCCAGGCATGATTTTCTAGCTACTGGAGATAAAACCATGAACAGAACAAAGATCCATGCCCTTGTGGAGCTGATATTCCAGTGGGGCTGAGAGATAATAAGCAATAAGCAAAAGAAGTAAATTATCCAGTATGTTAGAAGGTGCTAAGAACCATGCGGGGGGAGGGCGGGAGAAAGTACAGCAGGGTAAAGGGGATCCAGAATGGGCAGTATTCATAGGAAGGTTTTACTGAAAAGGTGACATTTGAGCCAAGATATGAAGGAAGTAAGGGAGAGTCATGCACTATCTGAAAAATGGTCCAGGTGGGGGAAACAATGCAAAGGCCCTGTGGTGGCACCATTGCTGGTGTGTTTGAGGAATAGTGAGGCCAGTGTGGCTGTATGGGGGTGAATGAAAGAGAGGGGAGCTAGGAGGTCGGGTCCGAGAGGTACTGTAGTGCTTCGAGGGCCACACTCACTGTTCTGACAGAAGTGAGAATCCTAAGAAGCCTCCATGCAGCCACGGCCAAAGACTGATGCCCCACTTCCCCCACCCCTACACAGCCACACTAAATACACCTGCACTTCAAGTGCCTTGGTCGGTCTGGCTGATTTCCACTGTCCAGAACTGATTCTTCCAGTGGGGCTGCTGGAACTTCCTGGAAGGCTTACTTCTCCATCAGTGCCAGTGGGGTACCTTCCTCAAACTTGGGAAGCAACCTCCTTCCCAGGTCTCAGAGGGATCCTCAGCACCTGACGTCCACGTACCCCCGATCTTTCACCGCTTACCTGGAAGAGTTATTGCCTGAAGATCACCAGACACCACCAGCTACAGAGGAGAGGCACTAAATGTATCCGGTTTCCCCACGGCATCTCACAAGAGGACGAAATGCCACAACTTTGCTCACTAATCTTTTGGTTGTACTGATTTTCCTCATAACCTCATCCCATCCTTGTCTTCAAAAGTTCTTTAAGTCATTAGGGAACTGCAAATTAAAACAACGAGATACCACTACACACTATGACAATGGCAAAAATCCAACAAACTGACAACACCAAATTCTGGTGAGGACGCAGTGTAACAGGAACTTTCATTCATTGCAGGTGGGAAGGCAAAATGGTACAGCCACTCTGGAAGACAGTCTGGCTGTTTCTTACAAAACTAAACATACTCTTACCATATGATCCAGCAATCACGCTCCAAAAGAGCTGAAAACATGTCCACACAAAAACCCGCACATGGATGTTTACAGCAGCTTTATTCATAATTGCAGAAACTTAGAAGCAACCACGATTGTCCTACAGCAGGTGACTGGATAAATAAACTGGTACATCCAGATAGGGGAATATTATTCAGTGCTCAAAAGAAATGAGCTATCAAGCCACGAAAAGATATGGAGGAATCTTAAAGGCATGTTACTAAGTGAAAGAAGCCAATCTGAAAAAGCTACATACTGGATGATTCCAACTCTATGACATTCTGGAAAGGGAAGTACTATGGAGACAGTTAAAAGTGGTTGCCAGGAGTTAGAGGTTGATGGAGGGACGAAAAGGCAGAGAACAGAGGATTTTACAACAATGAAACTATTTTGTAGGGGGTGGGAATAGGTCAGTGGTAGAACATCTTCTTAGCAGGCATGAGGCCCTGAGATCAATCTCAAGTACCTACATTAAAAAAATGAAATTTTTTGTTTTCTTTTTGTTTTTTCTGTGTGTATATGTATATATTTTTAATTGAAGTATAGTCAGTTTACAATGTGTCAATTTCTGGTGTACAGCATAATGCTTCAGTCAGACATGAACATACATATATATTCGTTCTCATATTCTTTTTCACCATAAATTACTGCAAGATATTGAATATAGTTCCCTGTGCTATACAATATGAACTTGCTTATGAAACTATTTTGTATGTGACTCTGACTGGATATATGTCATTATACATTTGTAAAAACCCATAGGATGCAACACTAAGCATGAACCCTAATGTAAACTATGGACTTTGAACGACAATGATATGCTGTTGTCAAATGAGTGTAGGTTCATTGATTGTAACGAATGTACCACTGGTGGTGCGGGATGCCAATAGTGGGGGAAGATGTGCATGGAGGTGGGGGCAAGGATATATTTTCCACTCAATTTTGCTATGAATCTAAAACTGCTTTTAAAAAAGAAGGCTGATTCTTTTAAAAAGCACTTTAAGAATCTTTATGAAAATTAGAGCTCCATCACCCCTTTTGCTTTGCCATATTCTATTAGTAGATTGTTTTTAAAAAGCAATTCTTTACATATTCTGGGTATAGATACTTTATCAGATAAATGATTTGCAAGTATTTTGTCCCAGTCTGTGGCTTGTCTTTTCATTCTCTTAACAATGTCTTTCGAAAAGCAGAAATATTCAATTTTGATGAAGTCAGATTTTTTAGTTTGTTCTTTTTGGATTGTCCTTTTGATGTCACATCTAAGAAATCTGTGCCTAATCCCAGATTACAAAGGTTTTCTAGAAGTTTTAGAGTTTTAGATTATATGTTTAGATTTTTGATTCATTTTGAATTAATTTTTGTGTATGGTGGGAGGTATGGAGACAGGCTCATTCTTTTAAGTACGGATATCCAACTGTTCCAGCAACATTTGTTGAAAAGACTGTCCTTCCTCCACTGCATTGCTTCGTGCCTTTTTCAAAAATCAGTTATCCACCACAAAGAAAAGAAAAAAATCAGTTGTCCACATATGTATGGATTGACTTATGGACTCTATTCTGTTCTATTGATATATTTGTCTATCTGTATATCTATCTGTATGTTTTAATGATAACTGTAGCTTTATAATGATTCTTGAAATCAGGATTAGCCCTGCAACTTTGTTGGTCTTTTGCACAGTTTCTTTCTCTTTTGCAGAGAAAAAAAAAGATAAATCTTTTGTCAGATTTATCCCTGAGTATTTCATATTTCCTGATATTATTGGACATATTTTTAAATTTAAATTTCTAATTTTTCATTGCTAATATATAGAAATACAATTGATTTTTGTACATTGCTCTTGTATCCTGCAACCTTGCTAAACTAACAATTTTATTAGCTTTTTTAAAATAGATTCCATTGGTTTTTCTATTAGATAATCATGTTTCTGCAAATAAAGACATGTTTCTTTCTTTCTTTCCAACCCAGATGCCTTTTATTTCTTCTTGCCTTTTCTGCACTGACTAGAATCTTCAGCACAATATAAAATAGCAGTGGTGAGAGTAGATATCTGTCTTATTCCTGATTTTAGGGGGAAAGCATTCAGTCTTTCACCAGCCATTAAGTACAATTTTAGCTGTAGCATTTTTTTTCCCTCTCCAACATACTTGTAATTTATTAAACAAATATTTATTACCAAGCAGGTTCAACACATGCTAATCATAAACCCGTTTCTAAATTCGGCAAAATCCCAGCTTCCTGTCCTTCTAGGGACTCTGGCCATACCTTGAATCAAGGGCTCCCTTGAGGAGGTTACACTCCAGAGGAAGGGTTCTATTACTTTGTAGTATCAGGTCACCAGTGACTCTCAAAGTATGGATCCCAGACCAGCAGCATCAGCATCACCTGGAAACAGTAGAAATGCAAACTCTCAGGGCCCTCCTGGACCTAATGAATTTGAAATTCTGAGGGTGGTAACCAGCACTCTGTTATAATGAACCCCCAGGGGCTGATGAGGTGAACACCAGTTATGAACTGCTCTTCCAAAGAAAATGGCAGAGGTAGGTCTGTTTCAGGGTCAAACCTTGGGCAATACCTCTAAGGACAAAGGCCATAGTCACAACTAGACTCTCATGTCTGTTAGTGCAAAATGGAGGCTTCCAAAACATTTTAGCCAATCCATGTATCTTTTTTTTCTTTCAAGGAGTTTTATTTTTTAATCTTATTGTGGTAAGAACACTCAACATGAGATCTATGCTCTTAACAAATTTTAAGTATACATTATTGTTGACTATAGGTATAATGTTGTATAGCAAATCTCTAGAGTTTACTGAACCTTAATACCTGTTGATTAATAACTCCCCATTTCCCTCTCCCCCAGCCCCTGTTAACCACCATTCTACTCTTTGATTTTAAGAGTTTGACTTTTTAAGACACCTCATACAAGTGGAATCATGCAGTACTCGTCTTTCTGTGTCCTGCTTACTTCACTTAGCAAAATGTCTTTGAGGTCCATTCATGCTGTTGCATATGGCAGTATTTCCTTCCTTTTAGGGCTAAATAGTATCCCATTGTATATGCATACTACATTTTCTTTATCCATTCATCTGTCAATGGACCTTTAGGTTGTTTCCATGTCTTAGCTATTGTGACTAGTACTGAAATGAACATAGGAGTGTTTATATCTCTGTTAGATCCTGATTTCAATTCCTTTGGATATATATCCAGAAGTGGGATTGCTGGATCATACAGTAGTTCTCTTTTTAATTTTTTGAGAAATCTCCATCATGTTTTCTGCAGAAGCTGCACCCACCATTTTGCATTCCCACCAACAGTGAGCAAGGGTTCCAGTGTCTCCACATCCTCACTCACATTTGTCTTTTGGTTTTTTGATAACAGTCATCTTGACAGGTGTGAGGTGATATTTCATTGTGGCTTCCACTTGCATTTCCTTCATAATGAGTGGCAATGAGTGTTTATAATACACCTGTTACACAGATGTTCTTTATCACATTGACAAAGTTATTTTCTATTCCTACTTTCCTGAGAGTTTTATCAGGAAATCATGCTTAATTTTATCACCTTCCTTTTCTGCATCTCTTGAGGTGATCACATGTTTTTCCCTTTTGTTGTTTGTTAGTATGGGAAATTGCACTGATTAATTTTTGAATGGTAAAGAAAGCAACCCTGCATTCCTGGGATAAACTCCACATGGTCATGATGTATTATCTTTTTAATACATTGTTGGAATCAATTTGCTAAAATTATGTTTAGAATTTTTGTATCTATATTCCCAAGGGAATTGGTCTTTATTTTCTCTTTCTGTAATATCTATCTAGTTTTGGTATCAGAGTAACGCTAGTCCCATAGAATGGGCTGGGAATTATTCAAATTTTTGCAAGAATTTAGGTAGAGTTGATATTATTTTCTTTTTTTAACATTTTTTATTGATTTATAATCATTTTACAATGTTGTGTCAGATTCCAGTGTTCAGCACAATTTTTCAGTCATACATGGACATATACACACTCATTGTCGCATTTTTTTCTCTGTGAGCTACCATAACATTTTGTGTATATTTCCCTGTGCTATACAGTATAATCTTGTTTATCTATTCTACAATTTTGAAATCCCAGTCTATCCCTTCCCACCCTCCACCCCCCTGAGTTGATATTATTTTCATCTTAAATGCTTGCTAGAATTCACCACTGAAAACATCTGGGCCTGGAGTTTTCTTTGTAGGAAGAATTTTAACTATAAAGTTAATTTCTTTACTAGATATAGGGCTACTCAGGTTTCTATTTCTTTTTTTTAAATTGTGGTAAATACACATAACATAAAGTTTACCATCTTAACAATGCAAAAATCCTCACCAAAATATTAGCAAATAGAATCAAAACAGCACATGATCAAGTGGGTGGGACACAAGGGTAGATCTACACATGCAAATCAATCAGTGTAATACAACACATCAACAAGAGAAAGGACAAAAACCACATGATCATCTCAATAGATGCAGAAAAAGCATTTGATAAAATTCAACACCCATTTATGATAAAAAAAAAACTCTCAATAAAGTGGGTATACAAGGAACATATCTCAACATAATCAAAGCTATATATGACAAACCTACAGACAGCATAGTACTCAACGGTGAAAAACTCAAAAGCTTCCCACTAAAATCTGGGACAAGACAAGGATGCCCACTATCACCACTCCTATTCAACATAGTCCTGGAAGTCCTAGCCACAGCAACCAGGCAAGAGAGAGAAATAAAAGGGATCCAAATTGGAAAAGAAGAGGTTAAAGTGTCACTCTATGCAGATGACATGATACTATATATAGAAAACCCTAAAAGGTCCACACAAAAACTACTAGAACTAATCGAAGAATTCAGCAAGGTAGCAGGTTACAAAATTAACATTCAAAAATCAGTTGCATTTCTTTACACTAATGATTAATCAACAGAAAAAGAAATTAAAGAAACAATCCCCTTTAAAATAGCACCCAAAGTAATAAAATATCTGGGAATAAATCTAACCAAGGAGGTGAAAGAATTATACACAGAAAACTATAAACCATTGATGAAGGAAATTAAAGAAGACTTTAAAAAATGGAAGGATATCCCATGCTCCTGGATTGGAAGAATCAATATTGTTAACAATTTTAAGTGTACAGTTAAGTGGAATTAAGTACAGTCACATTGTTGTGCAGCCATCACCACCATCCATCCCCAGAACTCTCTTCATTTTGCAAAATTGAAATTCTGTACCCATTAAACAATTACTCCCCATTATTTCCTCTCCCCAGCGCCTGCCAACTATTTCTTCTTGAATGAGATTTAGTAATTTGTGTCTTTGAAGGAATTTATACATTTCAACAAAGTTGTGGAACTTATTGGCATAAAGTTATTCATAATATTCCTTTATCCTTTTTAGTATCTGTAGTGATGTCTTCTCTCTCATTCCTGATATTGGTAAGTTATGTCTTCTCCCTTTTTTTTTTCCTTATGTCTTCATGTTTATCAGTTTTATTGATCTCAATAACACAGCTTCTGGCTTCATAATATTCTCCATTGTTTTTCTGTTTTGTATTTTCATTGATTTCCACTTTTATCTTTATTTTTTCACTTAATCTGCTTATCCTAGGTTTACTTTGTCCTTCTTTTTCTAGTTTCTTATGATGGAAGTTGATGTAATCGATTTTAGACCTTTCTTATTTAGTCCTCTCTATTTTTGTAATATAGGCATTTAATGTGATAAATTCACCCTGAAATACTGGTTAGTGGCATTCCACAAATACTAATATTTTGAGTTTTCATTTTCATTCAGGACAAAATGTTTTCTAATTTCCATTCTGACTTTTTTGATCCTTGAATTATTTTGAAGTGTGTTATTTAGTTAGTTTCCAAATATTTGGAGATTTTCCAGAAACTTTGCTTTTATTGATTTCTAATTCAGTTTCACAATGGAAAAGAATATTAAAAAGAATATATGTGTACGTATATATATAACTGAGTCACTTTGCTGTACACCAGAAAGTAATACAACATTGTAAATCAACTATATTTCAATAAAATTTAAAAGAAAAAAAGAATGACAATTGTCCAGGCCTCACACCCATTAGGATAGCTACAAAAAAAAAAAAAAAAAAGAACTGTTGGTTGGGATGTAGAGAAAATTGGAACCCTTGTGCACTATTGATAGGAATATAAAATGGTGCAGCTGCTATGGAAAACAATATGGCAGTTTCCCCCCAAAATTAAAAAAACAGAATTACCATATGATTTGACAATTTCACTTTTGGAAAAATATCCAAAAGAATTAAAAGCGCAGCATCAAAGAGATTTTGCACACCCATGTTCATAACAGCATTATTCTTAATAGCCAAAAGGTGGAAAAAGTCCAAGTGGCCATCGAGGAATGAATTGATATGCAAAATGTGGTATATTCATACGATGAAATATTACTCAACCTTTAAAAGGAAGGAAATTCTGACACATGCTGCAACACGGATGAACCTTGAGGATGTTATGCTAAGTGAAATAAGACAGTCATAAGAAATCAAATACTGTATGATTCTACTTACGTGAATTATCAAGAGGAGTCAAATTCATAGAAACATAAAGTAGAATGGTGATTGCCAGGGGCTGGGGGAGGGGGGAAATTGGGAGTTGTTGTTTAATGGGTATAGAGTTTTAGTTTTACAAGATGAAAAAGTTCTGGAGATCTGTTTTACAACAATGTGAATATTTTGACACTGCTGAACTATACATTTAAAAATGGTTAAGATGGTAAATTTTATGTTACATGTGATAAAATACAATTTTATTACAATTAAAAGTACATGAATATCTATGTGCCTGGAATTCTGGTTCATCTGCATACCCAGTGCCTGCATATAATGGGTACTCCTCATCTTTCCCTCTCAGCAACATTTGGCTTCCTTCTTCTTAAAATTTAAAATTTAAAATTTATTTATTTATTTATTGACGTATAGTCGGTTTACAATGTCATGTCAATTTCTGATGTACAGCATAGTGATTCAGTTATACATACACATATATATTGATTTTCATATTCTTTTTTATTGTAGGCTATTACAAGATATTGAATATAGTTCCCTGTGCTCTACGGTAGGACCTTATTTGACTCCCTTCTTGAAATGCTTTTTCACTTGACTTCCAGAAATCTCTTGGTTCTGCTCCTGCCTCACTGGCTGCTCCTACTCAGTTTTGTTTCGCCAGTTCCTCCTCTTTCCCCTGAGTTTTGTACCTTGGAATGCCCCAGGGCTTAGGCCTCTAACCTCCTCATCTACATTCACTGCCTAGGTGATCTCCTCTAGTCTTATGGCTTTAAATGACTTTGAGTCTGATGCCTCCTGAATTTGTCATCTTCAGCCTGTACCTCACTCCTAATCTTTAGTCATATCCAATCACCTACACAACATCTCTATATGGTATTTCATAAGCATTTCAGACTTTACAAAACCAATACAAAATTCCCAGTTTCCTTTCTTAATCTGCTCCTCCAGCTGACTCTCAACTTAATTAAAACCTTCAGAGTCTATCCTCCTCACACCCTATATCCAACCCATCAATATATCCCTTCAGCTCCACCTTCAAAATAATTCCAGAAGACATCTTATCTCTTCCACTGCCCAGTGTCCAAGGCACCAAAAACTATTGCCTAATTTACTGCAAATAGCCTCCTAACTGCCCTCCTTGCTTCCCCTTTCCCTGCTCCCCTCTTGGTCTACACATAGAAGCCAGTGTTTTTTTGTTTTTTGTTTTTTTGGAAAGGCGAGACTGGTCATGTCTCCTCTGCTCCAAACCCTCCATATGGCTTCCTATCTCACTCAGAATGGGAGCCAAAGCATTTTATTTTATTTATTTTTTAAAAATTATTGGAGGTATTGGGGACTGAACCCAGGGCCTCCTGCATGCTAAGCACGTGCTCTACCCCTGAGATACACCCTCCCCACCCCCAAGCCAAAGCATTTTAAATGGCCTACAAGACCCTGCATAATCTGCCCTCACTCCATACCTCTGTGACTCACCTGAGAAGCTGCATTGATATCCTGGCTCTTCCTTCTGCCCAGAATGCTTTTCCCCCAAATTTCCACAAGGCTCATTCCCTCACTCCTTCAGGGTTTTTTGTTTATTTGTTTGTTTGTTTGTTTTGGTGGAAGGAGTAATTAGGTTTATTCATTTATTTTTTTAATGGAGGTACTGGGGATTGAACCCAGACCTCATGCATACGCCCTCTTCAGGTTTCTGCTCCAATGTCACCTTATTACAATTTTTTCTGACCATTAAAATCTGACCAATAAAATCGCAACCCCTCCCTTTATCCCAACTCTTTCTACCTCCTAATCCATTTTATTTCATATATAATATATATTCATTCATCACCTTTCTCCTCCAAGGACAAGGATATTGTTCTGTTTACTGTTCTGTTCCCCAACACTTAGTACAGTGTGCCTGGTGTGTTGCAGGCACTCGGTAAATGTTGGGTAACTGAATGAATGAATGTTCAATAATTAGTTGTTAAATGAAGATTAGGATGCTACCTTTCAAAACATCAGAGCAAAACTTCAACTATTTCTCAATCCACAAACAATCCATTTTCCAGGATGCATTAGAGAAAGACTGATTCATTGAGTCACATCCACAAAAGGTGAAATGTTCCTAGAAGAAATTCTAATACTATAATTGGCCCACCTGGGTCTGAGTAGAGTTGTTTTTGGCTTCAAGATTTATGTTTTGAGAAAGATTCTGACTGAGATATGGATACTTACAACTCATTCCCACAATTCCAAGTTTGGATTTCTTCAGCTGGTTACTTGGTCATTAGAACTTGGTCCTTTTTGATTTGGACACCCTTCCTCAGAACAACTTTGTATGACACGCATGTGCCTCATTCTTCATTCTCTGACTGGCCTACTAATATACAGCATTAAGTAAATAACCAGACCACTGGCTTAAAAAGCAAATTAAAAAGAATTTAAAAACTTAGAAACCCATCTTAATTCAAATAAGATGTTAAATCCTGTTTGCTCCAGGAAAAAAGGTGAGGTAAATCTCCCCATTGTGGTGATGAGGGTGGGGTGGTACTTCTATAAACAGAAGTTTTCACAGCACCAGGGACTTACACAGTATTGAAAGTCAATTACACATCAAAAGCCAACAAACAAACTCATAGAAAAAGAGATCAGATTTGTGTTTGACCAGAGGTGGGGGTTTCGGGGAGGGGGAATTAGATGAAGGCAGTCAAAAGGTACAAATTTCCAGGTATAACATAAATACGTGCCAGGGATGTAATGTAGAGCATGATAAATATAACACTGCTGTATGTTATATATAAAAATTGAGAGTAAATTCTAAGAGTTCTCATCACAAGGAAAAAATGCTCTCTATTTCTTTAATTTTGTATCTGTTTGTGGGGTTTTTTTGGGGGGGTAATTATGTTTATTTTTTTAAGTGGAGGTATTGGGGATTGAACCCGGGACCTCGTACATGCTAAGCACACACTCTACCACTGAGCTATACCTTCCCCCCTTTTTGTATCTAATTGAGATGATGGATCTTCACTAAACTTATTGTGATAATTATTTCAGGATGTATGTAAGACAAATCACTAACCCATACACCTTAAACTTATACAGTGCTGTAAGTTGATTATATCTCAATAAAACTGGAAGAAAAAAACAAACAAAAAAGATCTTCTCTGTATCATTAGTTTGGAGCAATTTTATTACAATATGCCTTTGTGTATTTTTCATCTTGTGCTGGTATTCAATGAGCTTTTTGGATTTGTGAAGTTATATGTTTCATTAATTTTGGAAAGTTTAGGACTTTATTTCTTCATGTACTTTTTCTATCCCCCCTCCTCTCCTTTGGGGATTTTATTTCCCTGCGTGTTAGGTCATGTGAAATTGTCCCACAGCTTGCTTATACTCTTTATTTTTATTTTTTCGGAATCTTTTTCCTCTGTTTCATTTTCTTTAGTTTCTATTGCTATGACATCAAGTCATTAATGTTTTTCTTCTGCCGTGTTTAGTCATTAATCCATCCGATGTATTTTTCATGTTTAAAATTCAATTTGGGATGGACCTAGAGATTATCATACTAAGTGAAGTAAGACAGAGAGACAAGTATCATATGATATCACTTACATGTGGAATCTAAAAAAATGATATAAATGAACTTGTTTACAAAACAGAAACAGACTTACAGACATAGAAAACAAACTATGGTTACCAAAGGGGAAAAGGGGAGGGGGAAGGACAAATGAGGACTCTGGGATTAGCAGATACAGACTATTACATATAAAACAAACAACAGTGACCTACTGTATTGCACAGGGAACCTATATTCAATATCTTGTAATAATCTATGATGAAGAATGATAGGTGGAGGAGTAGCCAGAGATATAGGAGGAAACCAAGAGAATGAGAGCAAGAAACTGGAATAATGCTGGGTGGTCACAGGAAGGGGTAGAAAAATGACTGCTGATTTGGGAAGATTATTACTCATCAGTGATCTGGTTAAGAGCAGTCTCAGAGACATGGGAGCGACAGAAGCCAAACTGAATTAAGTTAAAATATGCTCTGGGATGTGAGGAAGTAGAGACTGAAGGAAACCAGAGGAGTGGCTTTGCTGAGGAGCATAGCAACGGAGTCACGCCTAGGGCAGTATATGGGGCCAAAATCCACAAGTAAATATGTCCACGGATTTTGACAACACAGTACATGAAACGACCCAAATGGCCATCAGTAGGGGAATAGCTGAACATTTCTGCATTTATTCCACGGAATACCGGGAATCAATAAAAAAGGATGAGTTAAACAGACGTCCATTATATATTAATAACTTTTTAAAGCATCAAAACAATACTTGGGAAAAAGGATAGGTGGGTTGTACCAATGTCAATATTCTCAGTGTAATATTTTACTATACAACATGTTACCTTTAGGGGGAAGCATTAAAGTACATGGGATTTTCTCTGCATTATGTCTCAAATCTACATGTGAATCCACATCTCAAAATTTAAAAGCTGAGTTAAAAATATTTCCACTGTGTACATAATTGGGATCTTTCCCGTCCCCCACAGTGAATCTCTAGATACCTCTTGCCATCAAAAAACATTATTCATTTTGTAAATAAAACAAGGCGGGGCTGGGTGGGGACTCCTATCGTGTCTTCCCCTGGCTAAGGGGAGAGACTTCGCTTTGGAGGTCTCCAGGCTCGCCCCCGCCTCAAGGCTCCCTGGTCACCCGTGCCTAGAAATCTGGGAAGATTATAAATAGCTACTAGGGGTGGCCCTTCTAGCCCACCTCGGAGGTCCAAGTCTTGTTAGCCCAGAAGGTAACGCCTCTAGCTCTCCGAACAGGACCGAGTTGAGGAATTCTCGGCCCTCCCTTTTCCGCTCAGCAAGGGGAAGGCTGTCTCTCGCCCACTCGTCCTTGGTTCCCTCAGTCATGCCCTTCCGGAGCGTCCCCCGCTCCCCGCGCCCTCCTGGGAAGACGTCACGGTCGCTCGCTTTCCTCCAACAACCCAGAAGCTGGGCTAGAAGGGCCGCGGCCGTGTTTTCCGGCCAGGGTGAGCCATTTCCGGTCACAGACTCCCTCCCCCGGAAGTGAGGACTGATGTAAACACCGGAGCCGGGCGTCAAGGCCCGGGAGGTCACAAAACCGGGCCGCAGGCGGCACCGAGAGCTGGGGCCAGGATTGGGGACACGCGGAGGTCAGGTCAGTGCAGGCGGCAGGGACCTGGGACATAGTCCCAGAACTGATTGGGGTCTGGGGTAGGGAGGGAGGGGTCTTTTGAGCAGGGTGTCTTGGTGGATGGTGGATATCTAGGTATCTGGGTATCTAGGACAGGGCTCTTGAGTAGGTGCTGGCGTTGGAAAGTGTATAATGAGCGTGGTCTTGGACGTAAGCGGGGAGCGGTGTGTGAGGCATCCCGGGGCAGGGTTCTTGGGTGGAACAGATCTTTGGAATGGGGGCGGATCCCAAAAAAAAGGGATCTTGGAAGGTGGGGCTGTCCAAAGAATGGATCTCTGGGGGACGAGGAGGTCCAGTGGAAGTGGTACAGAGGGAAAGGAGGTTTGGAGGATGGAAAGGGTGTGCCCGGGCAAAGTTTTGGGGGAGATGAAGGTTTGAAGGGAGTTTGGGGGCTCCAGGGCAGGCGACTTGGGGGGTGGTTGAGTTGTCCCAGGTAGGGGATTGGGGAAGTCTGTATCCTGGGCAAGGATCTTGAGGAGGTAGAGGTGACCTGGGGCAGGGTCTTGGGGAGAGGATAGGGGGTCTGGAGGAGGAATCTTAGGGGGATGCAGTTACTGGGGGTAGGTCCAAGCCCACCCATTGTCAGAGTCAGGGACAGCAGAATGCACGCATGGAAAGGAATTTGGAGTTATGAGGGAATCCTGAGGTAGGAGGGTCTTTAGGTCATAAGGGGATCTGGGGGAATGTCCAAGTTGGCTGTGGTTGGGCAGAAGTTAGCATGTCATGAGGAGTCCTCCGGAGGTAGGAATAGGATCCTGAAAGTGTTTGGGGAAGCCTGTGAGGAAGAAAGGTGTGGGAGGGCTCTGGAGAGGGCTCCTCATGAGGACATGAGGAGGGGAGTTCCTTTGGGTGGTGCACCAACCGTAGCAGGTGTCAGGGCCAGGTCAGGGAGGTGCAGGAAAAGGTAGATGTCCTAACCCCCTTTCCCCATTTACTGAGAGGCAGAGTTAGGTGCTAGGTTCAGGTGTGAAGATGAGAAGTGGGTAGGGAGTGGTTCCAGGCAATGTCAGGCACTTGGGGCCAGGATTGGCTGGGGATACAGAAGAGATATCACTGGGATAGCCGCTACCCCATTATTTCCTGATGAGCAGTCAGTCAGGGCCAGGGATTAAGGAGGGGGGCCGGGCCAGGTCAGGATAGGCCCAGAGAGCTGGGGTCAACCAAGTATGAGAAAATGAGGATGTTCCTGGCCATGCTCTTTGGGGTCTTGGGAGCTTAGAGCGGAGACCCCAGGGTTCTCCCCCTGGTTTTGTCTTTGCAGTTCTACTGGGGTTGGATAGCAGAGTGGGAGGGGGAAGAAGAAATCAGTTGGGGACAGGAATTCTAGGACTCAGAAAACAGACCCCAGGACTCTTCCCAACCCTACCCCAATTTGTGTCCAGGGAAGCAATCCTGGACCATGACTCAGCAGCCACTTCGAGGAGTGACCAGTCTGCGTTTCAACCAAGACCAAAGTGAGAGGGGCTTGTGCCTGTGGCCTTTTGGGAGGGAGGGAGGGAGAGAATGGCCAGAGGTGGGTGTTAAGCCCCTAGCTTCCCACGTAGGCATCCTTTGAGGCAGCCCGGATTCTTCCCATCCCCAGGCTGCTTTTGCTGCGCCATGGAGACAGGTGTGCGCATCTACAACGTGGAACCATTGATGGAGAAGGGGCATCTGGGTGAGCTGTTGGTGGGGAAGGGGCAGCGGGAAGCAGGGATGGGCTGGGCATTGACACCCATTCCTACTGACACCCTGGTCCTTGTCCAGACCATGAGCAGGTGGGCAGCATGGGCCTGGTGGAAATGCTGCACCGCTCCAACCTGCTGGCCCTGGTGGGCGGTGGTAGCAGCCCCAAGTTCTCAGAGATCTCAGGTAAGTGTCCTCACCCCATCCCACCCTTGGCCCAGATTCCCCAGAATCCTGGCCTCCTGGAGGCACTGGCCAATGAAGATGTCAGAGTATCTCAGAGTCACACAGTGAGGCCTACAGCTTATAAGTCATGGATTCTATCACTTGAGGAGCTTGGTGTTTTGTCTTCATTTAACAAACACTTGTTGAATGCCTCCTGTATGCCATGTCCTTACCTTTGGAGCGCTTGCTGTGAACCTGGTGCTGTTCTAACTGCTTTACGTGTATTAACTAATTTAGTCCTCACAGTAACTCTGTGTGGGAGGAAGTATCATTATCCCCATTTTTACAGATGAAGAAACTGAGGCCCAGAGAGGTTAGGTGACTAATCCAAGGTCACACAACCAACAGGTTTTAAAATCTTGGAGCTGTCTCCTCAATGCTCTCTTGCTTTGAGTCTCAAGCACCATCTTGTTTTAAAGGGTTTTTATTGATCCCACTGGGCAAGAGATGCCCTAGGATTCCTCACAGAAATCTTCTGGGGTTATGGACTGGGGCCCCAGAAGCAGAAATAGTTACTGATGGAAATTTACAGGCCTGGGTGAGTCCCTGCTTGCTTGCTGATGGGCTGTGAGGTCCTTGGCCAGATACTCAACCCCTTCGTTCCTCAGCTTCCTCATCTGTAAATGGATATAGCAGTTCGAGAACGTGTTCCTGCAGGAATCACATCCACAAGTGCTCATGCTGTGTGAGGGTCACATTGGGTGTTAGCTAAAGGTTAAGCAAGTGGGTTGAGGTCCCTTGGGGAGTAGGGGTAGGTCTTGTGTCACCAGGGCTGCCCCTCACCCCAAACCTTGGCCCCGACAACACACCCACCTGCCCAGCAGTGCTGATCTGGGACGATGCCCGGGAGGGCAAGGACTCCAAGGACAAGCTGGTGCTGGAGTTCACCTTCACCAAGCCAGTGCTGGCTGTGCGCATGCGCCATGACAAGTGAGCCTGAGGTGGGCTGGGGGTGGGGGAGGCAGGAGGTCCCCACAGCAGGCAAGAGGGTTAGTCCTGCGTGGGCATCCTGCCCTCCCCTCATGGCCATCCTGTGTTGTGTGATGCCCACAGAATCGTGATCGTGCTGAAGAACCGCATCTATGTGTACTCCTTCCCCGACAATCCCCGAAAGCTGTTTGAGTTTGACACCCGGGACAACCCCAAGGGTGAGAGGACCCAGATAATGCAGGCGTAAGGGCAGGAGGCAGTGGATGGAGCAGAGGAGCAGAAATGAAGAGAGAATGGAGGGGCACATGGAGAGAGGAACTGGGAAAGAGAGGCAGGGAGAGAGTCTTTGCAAAGAGGTGCTCACATGGGTGGCAACGCCCATACTCCCAGTCTAGCCATTTTCCCATCCCTTAGCCAATCCTCTCTCTCCACCCTTGGCCCCACTCCACCCCTGGGTACCCCAGAGAGCAGAGCAAAAAGGCCCATTAGTGGGTATGCCAGGGATCCTGGGCCTCCCGGGATTGCCACGACTGCATTGGGAGGTAGGGAATCTGCCTTGGTCGTGGGGAGCACAGCTGAGGCAAACCCTTTGTGGATTCTGTGGATACCACGTGTCAAGGAAGGTTGAAATCTGGCCCTTATTCAGCTCTGTCCATTCTGAGACCCTGCCTGGCCCACTGCCTGGTCCAGACCTCCCCTTTACCAGCCCACCCCGCTCACACCCTAGGGCTCTGTGATCTCTGCCCCAGCCTGGAGAAACAACTGCTAGTGTTCCCAGGACACAAGTGCGGGAGCCTGCAACTTGTGGTGAGCTGTCCAGTGGACAAGGGTGGGTTCGTGGCTGGGCCGCCTCTCCCTGTGGACTCCTGGCCCCTGACCTCTGTACTACCCCAAGCTGGAACTGCTCCTTCTACCATAGGACCTGGCGAGCACAAAGCCGGGCACTTCATCTGCTCCGTTTACCATCAATGCACATCAGAGTGACGTGGCCTGCGTGTCCCTGAACCAGCCAGGCACGGTAGTGGCCTCAGCCTCTCAGAAGGGCACCCTTATTCGCCTTTTTGACACACAGTCCAAAGAAAAACTGGTGGAGCTGCGTCGAGGCACTGACCCCGCCACGCTCTACTGGTGAGCACAGGGTATGCGAGGTGAGTTGGTGACCCCATGCCCTATGACACGTAGGCGTCACTTCCGGTCCGTCTTTCAGCATCAACTTCAGCCATGATTCCTCCTTCCTCTGTGCGTCCAGTGATAAGGGCACAGTCCATATCTTTGCTCTGAAAGATACCCGCCTCAACCGCCGCTCCGCGTGAGTACTCCCTGCCCCACCCTGCCTCTTCTCCATCCCCCTGCCCATGTACCACACCTGGGCTTAGCCAGTGTTGCCTGCAGGCTGGCTCGTGTGGGCAAGGTGGGACCTATGATTGGGCAGTACGTGGATTCTCAGTGGAGCCTGGCCAGCTTCACCGTGCCTGCTGAGTCAGCCTGCATCTGTGCTTTTGGTCGCAATACTTCCAAGAATGTCAACTCTGTCATTGGTGAGTGGGAATAGTGCTTGACTCTGGGTATGGCATGGGCAAAGGCCTGCAAATTGGACCTGGAAGAATTTTAGGGTATGGGAGGCCTGAGGGAGCTAAAAACAGGTGGCTCAACTCCCTCATCAGTAAGGGGGATGGCATGTGAGCAAAGGCCTGGAGGTAGACCCTAGGCCATGGGACACCTGAGAGGATTGGAGTGTGTGGATTTGTTTGGCAGCCTCTAACCTTAACCAATCCTTCCCCCTCCTCCAGCCATCTGTGTAGATGGGACCTTCCACAAATATGTCTTCACTCCTGATGGAAACTGCAACAGAGAGGCTTTCGATGTGTACCTTGACATCTGTGATGACGATGACTTTTAAAGACCCTGTGGGTTGTACTAGGGACCTGCAGTGGCAGATTGCAAAGCCTTTGTATGGGGTGGGAGTGCTGTGGAAGCCACCAGCCTGCAAGCAATGGAGCAGGTGTCCACTTTCCACTCTTAAGAGCAACGCCTAAACAGCTAATTTCCTCCAAGCACTTCTTGATGACTGTGTGCCCACAGGGCCAGACCAGGAACTCATAGAGGCAGCAGACCCCCTGGGGCTCCCAGCCTAGAGACGACTGCTAGGGACCCAGAAGGGGTGCCCTAATCCAACCTGTGGGGATTTAAAAACTTCCCGGAAAGAGACGATCTCTGATGTGACGAATATGAATAAAAGGCCCTTAATAGTATTTTTGGCTGGACCTCGGGAGTGGGGCCCGGAGGAGTTGCAGTGAAAAGGCGCTGCAGGAGTTTCCAGGAAAGGCGTGATCCTCTTGGACCCTGACGGGAAAGAAGTGGGATCATGCTCGGGTCCTTCTCAGACAGCCTCTGCATGTCCTTTAATGTGTGGCTACAGTGTGCTTGAGCCGCCAGCACCGCCCAGAACTGTGCCCTGTGGCGCCCCCGCCTGGGGGTGGATGGGAACGCCTCGCCTCGCGGCGAAGACGTAATTTCCCGGCAGCCCCTGCTACTTTACAGTTCCGGCGTGGTGTTTGCATTGTATTTCCGGTCATGTGCATTGTTGCAGCTGCGCAGTCCACTAGGTCCCTAGGATAGCGGTGGCACAGCTCAAACTCCACTTCCCGGTGTGCTCCGCGGTGGCGCAGGGTGGAACGGGTGTTGTAGTCCCTCCGCTCCTCTGGCTGGTCCAGCTACATCGACCGGCAGGATGTCGGAGGTGCGGCTGCCACCGTTACGCGCCTTGGATGACTTCATTCTGGGGTCGGCGCGGCTGGCGGCCCCGGATCCCTGCGACCCGCAGCGATGGTGCCACCGCGTCATCAACAACCTCCTCTACTACCAAACCAACTACCTTATCTGCTTCGGCCTCGGTCTCGCTCTGGCCGGGTGAGGGAGGGAGGGAGGGAGGGAGGCGCCAGTTGGCCGGGGACGCCTGCTGGGGTTTTGAGGGGGATGCAAAGCCTGGAAGGGCGAATTCGGTAGGGATGGAAAATCTCAGGGTCATGGGAGGGAGAACTTGAAGGAAGTGGAACCTGTTTATAAGAAGGGACTGGGGCAGGATAGAGCCTAGCTGAGGGGGACTGATGGGGATGGAGGGTCTGGAGGGAAGACCGGGGGAGAATGGAGAAAAGGGTGGAACTGAAGGGGAAACTGCGCTGGGAGGTGGACTTGAAGATAAGGAGGGCCAGAAAGTGGGGACATGAGTGTGCCTGAGGGGTGATGGGGCCAGATTAAGGAGGCCCTGGAGGATTTAGGGCAGGGACAGGGACGTGGTCAAGTTGAAGGGTGGACTTGTGGAGGATCGGGGCTTAGAGAGGAGCCTGGCTATAATTGGAATGCTCTAGGTACATGTTGGGGAACTTGAGCCAAGAGGGAGGACCCCGGGATGGAAATCCTGAGACCAGGGAGAGATGGAGAACGTGGAGGAGGGACTTGGGCAGGATTGGAAGATAAGAGTGAGACTGAAAGCCTGGAAAGGGTTCTGGCAATGGAGGTTAGATTCTATTGGGAAATGGGAACCTGGAGGGGGAATTTGAAGGGGAGGAAGTCTGGAAAAGGGATCTTATGACTGGGCCTGGGGAGAGGGAAATGTATGGAGATGGAAGGCCTGGAAGAGGAATTTTCAAGGGCCTGGCCTCTGTAAAGGGTGGGTTTTGGGGAAGGTTGGAATGAGGGAGGCGGGCTGGAATGGGCCCTGTAGGGGTATGGTCAGAAAGAAAGAGCAGGAAAGACTGGGAGCCCAGAGGCCTAGCGGATGAGAGGGCCTGAAGCAGGAGATTTCAGGAAGATGGGACTGCAAGATTGACAAAGAAATGAGGGTCTGCAGTGGGGAGCCCAGAGCGCCTAGGAATTGGAGGTCCTGGAGGGTGGACCCGTTAGAGACAGGGCTGGCGGGAGTATTTGCCCGGCTGGAGGATCCGGAGCGGGCGTGGGGTTATGTGTGGGGAACCAAAGCTCTTGGGGCCCGGGATCGGTGGACGGTGGTCTGGGAGGCTTGGAGGCCGGGCGGCCCTCTTCCCGCCTGCCCGGCTAGCTTAGTTCCATTGTCCCCACAGGTACATGCGCCCGCTGCACACCCTCCTAAGCGCACTGGTGGTGGCTGTGGCACTTGGCGTGCTGGTGTGGGCGGCTGAGACTCGCGCAGCCGTGCGCCGCTGCCGTCGCAGCCACCCAGCCGCCTGCCTGGCCGCAGTGCTTGCTGTCGGCCTCCTCGTTCTCTGGGCCGTGGGCGGCGCTTACACCTTCCTCCTCAGCATCGCCGGGCCAGTGCTTCGTGAGTCTCCACACCCTGAGATAGCCTGGAAAACGGCCAACAATTGCGCTCGGCGCCAGGCCCGCCCTACTCTGATTCCTGGGCTGAGAAGGGGCTAGGACACCCGGCAGACGTGGCCTCACCTTCTTTACAAAGAGCCTTCCTTGGCTTTGCTCCCTCCTCCCCTCTGGGAACGCCCCTCTTTACTACCGCCTTTCTGGGCGTCGGCTGGTCTGAAGTGCCTTCCACTGGCCACGTCCCCATTACCGTGTGTGACACCCCCCAGCCACGCCCCTGTTGCGAAGCGCATTCCTCCGTCACACTTTTAGGATTCAGAGGCGTCCTAGCCACTGACTCCAGTTCCCTTCTGTGGGCTCCGGTTAGCTAAAGGCTGATGTTCCATTCCCACTGACCCCACACCTCTTGTATTGCCCACAGTGATCCTGGTGCACGCATCACTGCGCCTGCGCAACCTCAAGAACAAGATTGAGAACAAGATCGAGAGCATTGGTCTCAAGCGAACGCCAATGGGGCTGCTACTGGAGGCGCTGGGACAAGAACAGGAGGCTGGATCCTAGAGGCCTAGGATCTGTACCCAAGACATGGAGAATGCCACCCCCACCCCGGCCCGCATCCAGGACCCAGAGACCTTTCGCAGCCCTTCCCCCAGGTCCCAGACTGGGATATTCCCCTCATACCCAGCCCCCCATCTTAGGGAACCAGAGTCTTTCCAGCCCTTAACTTGGGACGCAGAGACATATCCAGCCTAAAACTAGGGCTTAGAGACCAGAGCATTGAGGCCAACCTCAAACTCTGCACCCAGAAACACTCTCCTGACTCCAATCTGGGACCCACCTGTCTCCCGTGCTCAGCCCCAAAGCTGGGGACTGGGACCAAGGCATTCTCAAATATTGAACCCTGGACCAAGGCTTTTCTAGACCCCACCCCAGCTTTGAACCCAGGTCAAGGCATTGCCAAATCTTGAACCCAGGATCCAAGTGTTCCCAATCCCCATCTGGGTAGAGAATTCAAGTATCCTGATCCTGTTGGACCCTTGGTCCCAGTTAACCCCAACACTCACCAGTCCCACTTGCCTTCTTCCAGCTCTTAGGGATTCTGCCACTCCTCCTGCCACAAAGTTCCACAGTGGCAAGGACCAAGGGGTGGGAATGGGGTGGGGTGGGGTGGGGATAGCCCTGACCAGGAATGGAGCAAATATTATCAGTGTTGCTGCAACAATAAAGGCTGTTGCATTGCTCAATGCCAATTTGGGCCTCCTGGGTAAAGTCTGTTTCAGTGGCCAGAAGTGACCTGCTTTTCAGTTCTGCTAGACATTCTGACTCTGTTAAATGTGTGGGCTGAACTCAGTTCCTTTTTTTTTTAATGGCAGTACTGGGGATTGAACCTAGGACCTCATGCATGCAGATCACATGTCCTACCACTGAGCTATTAAACCACACCCCCTCCCCAGTTCTAGTCTTGACTCTGTTACCTTTAGGGCAGCATTAACATACAAGGTAGTTAAAGGCACTTAGTGTTTCCTGTCATCATTCGTATTACTAAGGGCGCTTGTTGAGAGTTGGCTAGGAATCAGCACAGGCAAAGAAGTTGCCTCACATCACAAAGCAAGTAAAACCAAAGTGGATGACATTATCACAGGCTGGTTACACAGTGCTATGTATTTTTTTTTCTGATAAAAATACATTGTCTGGTCTTAGCTGAAGATGTGGGCCCCCAAGGCAAAGCAGATAGGGAAGCAATGGATGGGTTCAGTTTACACATTTATTATAGAAATCCCCTTCCAGTGTGGGTAGTGTCTTGGGCCCAGATCCATTGGTACAAAAAGAAAAGTTTAACACCAGGTAAAGGGGGTAGGGGAACCCCCAGCTCCAGAAAGTCACAGACAGGTATCATAGAAAACACAGCTTGTGTGGATTTGTTTAAAAAGTGGGTGGAAGGAAAACCAAGGAAGACGTGACGTAGCCTGTGGCCAGACGTCACCTGAGGATTTCACTGGCATCTACCAGATGTCAAGTTCCACCACCGCAGCATCCCAGGACACAACACACCCAGCGGCTCTGCCTGTTGGCCCTCCTGCAGGGCCTCCTGATTGGGGATAGTTGGGGCAGAGGCTGCCGCTAAAGGCTGGGCCAGGCAGAGGCAGTGGGCACAGACAGGCAGACAGGGACTGGGGTTCCTGGGGCGGGGGCGAAATGAATCCAAGCCCCCCCACAGACTTCAGTCCTATCAAATGTGGGCAGAGAGCCCACCTCCCCAAGAAAAACTGCCCCGGTAAGGGGTGGCAGGGAGTTCTGTTCACACCAGAGTCTCCTGGCTGCCCCAAATGGCCCCGAGACCCTATATGGTCCATTTTGTGGAGAGGGTTCCTGAATGGAACAGGCTGGGCACGGGGACAGGAATGAACCCAACCAGGACGAGATCACAGTTTCCCTTTTTATAAAACGTCTAGTGTTGGGGGAAGACAGTGAATACCTAAATCACAACTGTAAACAGAAATGGAGGAAGGGGCTTGGAGTCCCCATGACATCATCCCCTCTTTTAAGCTGGCTGAGGGCCCCCAGTCCCCAGAACACTGCAAGAGGAGAGGCAGGGTGTCAGACACCTTCGTGGGCCCATGGGGAGCCAGGGACCTTGGAAGATCAGGTTGGTGCCCCCCAGGACCAAGAGCAACCACACCCCAGGGCTCAGCGAGGTCAGCTGTGTGCTCCCCAGACTGGAGTCATGCCCAGGCCAAGAAGGGGCATTTCAGAAAGGGTCAGACCAGTGTCCCCGGGGTCTGGGGGTCAGAACCAGAGGACTGCTCCCCCTCTAGCGTCAGGTCACTTAAACGAGCGCTCAGCTCCGGGGGGTACAGGAAGTCCGCGTAGTATCTTTGGAAGGGGTAGCAGGAATCCGGAGGACAGGGTAGGAAGACAGAGGAGAGAGGAAAAGACGGACAAGACACAGAAAGAGAGAGGAAAAGAGGCTCGTTAAAGAGGTGGAGGCAGGCACAGGACAGCACCGTTAGGCTCACGAGCAGGGGACACGGTGAAAGTAGGAAGAGACAGGCGAGGGGCATAGGACATCCCTTCCTCCCAGCACCCTGGTTTCAAGGCTCATTTTCAGCTGACATGCACTGGTTGTTCAAATGCTAAAATCCTAACATAGCGTGGTGAAGAACTGCTCCTACCAGGGCCCAAGACACCCCTCCGCAGAGACCCCACGGACTAATGCGGGTCAGGCAGGGCCCCGTGTCCCCAGACCAAGGCTGCGGCTAGTTCTCCTGTGGTCCATGTCATTTGCGATCATGACCAGCGGCCCCCGTGGCCTGGACACCTTGACTGACTGCCTCAAGAGACCCCTACCCGTCAGTAAAAGCACCCCCCATACCTGCCGGAGACAGGGGGCGCCGTGAAACTCCTCGAGTGTGGGAGCGGCGCCTGGCTGGGGGCCCCGTACAGCGCCTGGCCCACCTCATAGCAGCGAGCATGGAGGAAGGGTGGGTGCTGCGGGCCCATGGCGGGGAGCACAGGCCGGCGCTGGGGCCCCGCGGCCAGTCCCGAGTTCCGGATGTACCAGTCCCGCAGCCCCTCCAGGGCCAGGTTCTTGTGGCCACTGCGCTCAGCAGCCGGGGGAAGACGGGCGGGCGGGGGCATCCACAGCAGGGGGTTGGGATGCACCTCTGGACCCTCGGCAGCCTCCAGGGGCAGGCCACAGGGCTTGGTGCGGGCGGCACGGCTGTGGGGGTCCTTGCTGCGGAGAAGGGGGCTGCTGCCGTCAGCTGCGTACACAGGTGGTGGGCCTGGGAGCATGGCGAGGAGCCCATCCCGGCGGGAGAGGGGTCCTGGGACCTCGGCTGTGGGCAGCAGCTCCCCCCAGCCGGTCCCGCCGCCACCGCGGGGCAGGCCCCGGTCCAGGGAATAGTCCAAGAGGAAGTCCCCACACACAGGTGGGAGGCGGGGGGCCCCGCGAGAGGCGGGGGCGGCTGAGCTAGGCCGGGCAGCCCGGGGAGGGTCTGGGGGGCCAGCTGTACGGGAGGAGAAGGCAGGGGTGGGTTGGGGGCGCTCGTACAGCACCTCACTGCTCTTGCAGACCGGGGGCCCAGCGGCAGGGGGCACCAGAGGCGCAGGTGGGGAGCCAGCTCCCCCACCAGCCGCCCGGTCCACCAGCAGGGCCTCGGAGCTATTGCTGCGGCGGGTGCGAGCAGCGAAGAGGGAGGCGCGGTCGGAGACAGGGTCAGCCCGGGGGAAGCCCATCTGGGAGTCCTGGCTGCCGGACCACTGGCGAGAATGGAGGCCTTCGGGTCTGGGGGCACAGAGGTGGGGGTGAAAGGAGACGGGTCAGAAATATCAGGCAGATGGGATGAGTGCCCTCCCTACCCTCCCTCTTTCTGAGCCTTCACTTCCACGCCACCAAATGGGCCCAGGATTAGAAGCTGTGTGTATAAAGGTGTTGGGGAGTGGTATGTAAAGGGCGGCAGAGGTTCTGCCCTGGACTAGGGGGCAGAGGGGTTGAAAATCGGGGTGCCTGGGACTCCAAGGGAGATGGAAGTGTGCTTAGGGCTGGAGAGGAAATGCTAGCAGGGGAGGGCAGAGGGCTCTTCCTAACACATCTGACCCCTCATCCCCTGCTAAGGTGCTTCTTCGGGCTCCCTGCCTGCTTCATGATGAGGCCAGGAATTCAAGACCCTTCTGGAACTCTCTGTCCCATCATGGGTATGAACCACCCCAAACTATCATCCCAATAGCCTCTATTCACAGAATGCAAGTGCCACAGGGATGGGGACTTTGTTGTGTTCACGGCCTGGAAAAAGGAGGTATGTTATCTGTTTAAGCAGTGGTAGAGTACAGTAGTTAAAAGCACGGACTCTTGAGTCAAACCTGGGTTCAAATACCAGGTCTTCAGTTTACTAACATGTTACTTAACCTCTCTGTGCCTCAGTTTCCTCATCTCTAAAATGGGAATAACAATAGTACCTTCCTCATCGGGATCTTGTGATAATTAAATAAGTCTGATACCAAGGAAAGCACTGACTCCTAGCAGATGGTAGGTACTCGGTACACGTTAACCAGAACTTACTACACCTACAGTGTCTTCCCCAGACAAATATTATGATGCTCATTTCACAAATGAGGAGACAAAGATTCAGAGAAGGGAAATGACTTGCCCAAAGTGCATAGAAAAGCCCAGACTCAAACTTTGGTGCTTCTCCCCAAAATCCATACCCCCTTCCCTTCTTCTCTACCAAGACAGCTCCTATTCACCTTTCAAAGCCCAGCCTTTCTTTTCTTTTCTTTTTTGGTCAATTAAATTTTTTATTTATAATGTGATGTCACACATATACATATATTGCATACTCCAAAAATCTTTTACTTCTGTTTCTTTAGCATGCAATAAAACGCAATGAACAAAAGCTCTGAAACAGAAATAAAATTCTTGCTTTTTCATACAAGCTACAAAGAAAATCAGAACAAAACTGATAGACTCAAAGCTCAGGCTCTCATGCCCCACACCCTTTGATAATGCTCTCCCTGATACCCCCAGTTAGAGCTACTAGTTCCCTCCTCTGGTCCTCAAACTCACCCTCAGAGTCCACTTACTTGCAGAGCTGGGGGCCAGCGCCCCGGGTGAGGACAGGGGTGGCAGGCACACTTCGTCCCTCAAAACTGGAGGCACTCCTGGGCAGCGAGCGTGTGGGGCTAGACAGAGACGGGCAGGCCCAGGTGGGGGTCCAGGTTAGAGACTGTAACCACCAGTGGGACCCCCTGCCAGCCCAGGCTTAGGCTCCACTCCTGACTCCTGGGGAAGGAGGGCAGGGGCTCACCCTCACCTGGTGGGGCTGGCCACAGAGTTCCGCCGGCTCTTCAGATCCCCATAAAGATCCGACGGGGGTGCTTTCCATGGGGTTCGCCGCTCAGGGCTGCCCCCAGATACTGCCCGCAGCTGGTCCCAGGCTTTGGGTGGTGAGGGGCGCTCAGCCAGAGGGAAGCAGCCACGGGGCTCCTCTGGGTGGAATGGAGAAAGTAGGGGAGAAGTCAATGAGAGGGTACCCGAAGGGTTGCAGGCAAAGCAAAGGGTGGGGACTAGGGAGGCGGGGGGTGGGGGGCAGAGGGCGGGACAGGCTGAGGAGGAGCTGAAGGATGAGGTGAGAACTGGGGCTGATGGGGCAGGATGGAGTGAAGCAAAGAAGATGGGGGTTCCACAGGAGGATGGGGCATGGCTCAAAAGAGCTGAAGAGGGAAGGTGAGGGCTGAGCATCAAAGGATGGGCAGATGTGGGAGAGACAGGTCCTCACCGTTATCATGGCTGGCCCCAGACTCTGAGAGGGAGCTGCTCTCTGAGTGCAGAACTACGTCCTCTACAGGTGAGAAGGGGGAGAACCGGGCCTATCAATACAAAGCCTGGGTGCCATCCCCTTACACCACTGGGAAGTCTCCTCCTCACCCCCTTTGCTTCCCAAGAATCCACCTTTATCTAAATCTAAGATCACCAAGGGCTTGATCTCTCACTTCCCTGATGCCTATTCCCAGTGGCCCCACCCTTGCCCAAGAGTCAGTTAATCATAATTCCTTAAGTTCCACCTCCCTCCCACTTTTCACTGGCTGCTCACATACCCCACCCCTACCATGCCCACCCTCCAGCTTTCACTGGTGGGGTGACAGGGCCTGGCTCACCTTGGCTGAGCTGAGTGAGACGTGTGCCCAGGCAGACTCCCTGGGTGGTGATAACTGCGCCGGTGGACAGTGGCAGGGGCTGGAGAGGCGGGAGCACCGGGAGGCCCAGGCGGGCCCGGACATCCCCCAGCTGCTCCTCCAGCTCGTGCAGCCTCCGCAGCGCATCTGCCTGGACCTGGCGCCGACGCCGGCGCTGCTCGGCATTCAGCTCGGGGGCCAAGGCCAGGCGGCGGGCAGCTGCCGTAATCTGCTGCTGCACTGACACCTCGCGTTCCAGGGCCTCGAGCGCCAGCTCCTGTGGGGTCCACCCGAGTGGGACCAAAATGTTAGAAATGGTCAAGCATAGTAAGCAGGCGGTGGCAGAGCCAGGCTGCACTGGAGGCAGGGCCTGGGTTGATTCGGGCTGAGCCTATGCATCTTGGGGTGGGGGTGGGGGGCAAGGGTGAAAAGCCGATCCTGACAGTTAGGGACCAGCATCCTCTCTCTCAGTCCTGGAACCCACCTCCCTCAAGCTCGGTGCCTTTTTCCCTTAGCCTCTCCTTCCCCTGGACACAGCCTGCCCTCTGCTTCCTCCCGGCTCCTCCTCCCCTGTACCTGTCCCACCCCCATCTTGCTCTGTGTGCCCATCTGCTCACCTCAGCGGGACATAAGGAGTGGTGTGCTGGGTTGGGGTGTGGTGGAGGGTAGGCTCGGGCTGCAGGGGGCCGCCGGCGGACCAACTGGGGCCGTTCTCCAGGCTCCAGTGGGCACTCGGGGGGCAGTTGGCCAGTCAGCTCCTGGGTGAACGAAGGCATATGTCAGAGACCACAGGATTAGTTGGGGAGGATGTGGCAAAGCAGCCTGAATCTACAGAAGTCCTACTAGGACCCCAGCCCTACTCGGCATCCACGCCTGTTCTCTTCCTCCTCCCAATACTCCACTGGGCGGGTGTATGGCACAGACTCTCAGCCCCTCATTGGCCCAAATCCCTGGGGCAGTGGGCATGGGAAGCAGGGAGACCTGCTTCGGAATCCGGAATTTCTTCATTTTTTATACAGGTGACACCATCTTTATACTACATATTATATGACACTCTTTGAGGCCTGGGCTGCATGCTCTGAACTGCATTATTATTTCTGGCAAACTGTGTGGATAGTCACAGCAAGAGGGGTAAATCGAAACTATAAATCACCTTATGTCAGTTCAGATCAGGTTTCACTGCCAAGTTTTGGAAATAACTTATGTGAGGGTTTTTTGTTTGTTTGTTTTTTTGAGGTTTTTTGGATTCTAAATTATTGACAGGGAGTTGTGGTAAAATATTACCATATTTTGTTGATTCTAAGACATCTGAGCTGAGCTTTGGAGAATCTACAGCTCAGACAAGTGGCTCAGTGATCACCACCTGATTGCCTACCTCGCCCCGGCTCCTCACCCCAACACCAACACCCTTAGGATCAGGCCCTCACCGCCTCCTGGAGACACACTTTTCGTAGCTCCTGAAGTTTCAGGCTCAGGGCCTCCTGCAGGGCCCGCTGCCGGTCAAGCAGCCCCCGGAGCCGCTCTGACTTCACTTGGGGGGCAGCCTCTCCAAACAGGGCAGCTGGACACGGAGGGAACAAAGATCAGGGGCACAACTGGGGCAACCTGGAGCAGCGGTGGGGCCAGGGACCAACCCTTCCCAAGTGGACAGGAGGTGACTCAGAGCTGGGGAGGAGGCAGCAGGAGAGGGAACCCAACACCGACCTGAGGCATTGAAGGTGGGAGAGCTGATCAGCTGACCTTTGACTTCCATCCTGGTGCTGTCAAGAGGCCGTGGCTGATGGCTGGGCAAGGCCTGGCAGTGATGCACGGGAGCCACTGAGGAAGCACATCCCCTGATCCCCCAATCTCCACCCAGACCCAGGTTCCCACACCCCAGCTGCAAATGAGGGGTACCCTGGCCCCACCCACCTGCTTGGTCTGCCCTCTCAGAATCTGTGTCAATGTCAAGGCCCTGGTACCTTGGTTCCCTTCCCATTGAGTGGGAGCACAGCAAGTGGGGAGCCGGGCAGACTTACAACGCCTCCTCAGAGGCCCATGGGCCACAGTCAGGAGTCTTGCCTAGGAAGGGAAAACGAATGGCATGGATTCAACCAACGATAAGGACGGTGAGCATTTATTAAGCACCTGGGTACCTGGAACAGGTAACTTCTGTGCCACGTTTAATCTTCACAACCACCCTGTGATGCCAGTTCTGTGATTATTATAACCCCATTTTAGAGACGAAGAGAGTAAGACACAGAGAAAGGAAATCACCTGCCCACAGCTGAGGGTCCAACACTCGCCCTTACTAGAGGTGCTGAACCCCACCAATTCCTCATAAGCTCACAGCCCAGCAGGACTCCAGACTTTGCACAAGCTGTGGCTGCTGTCCAGGGCCCTCTTTTCACGTCTCACCACTCCAGCCCCTGGCGCTCACTCATACCCTGGGACTTCGATGTCACTTCCAGAGGTGGGTCCCTGCATTATGTCCCCTCACAACTGCTGTCCAACAAGAGACTGTGCCTCTCTTGTACATTTAGGAGGCCAGAAAACGTATCTGTCCTTTTCTCATCAGTCTTTTTCTCTGGCACGTGGAACACTTCTGTGTACACAGCAAGTGCTCAGTGAATGTCTGCTGGGTGAACAAAAGAATGACTGTGGTCTGTGGGTCACTACTTGTCCTAACACCACCCTGCGTCCCTGGTGTGGCAGGGAGAGTGTTCTCCTGGCCTCAGGACCCCTCCAGTCCCTCCCCGCACCCTAGCCTGTCCTGCATCCAGCAGGGGGAAGTCACCCTGCTGGGACTGAAAACGACAAAGTCCACAGTTGCAGATAAGAAGCTGACTGCCTCCTGCCTCCTTCTCTACCCCCAGACGCCCTGGCTGGCGGTGGAGCCTGCTTTGGCTGGCCGCCAGTCCTGCCCTCGTCCCTTCCTCTGGAGTTTGCTCCTTCCCTCCCACATCCTGCTCAGTCCCCAGCTGGGAAGCCAGGTGACATCACCTCCCACCACCTGGCCTGACCTCGGTGGCAGGCGATTGGGAGGATCTCATGAGGCCACAGAGGTCCCATCCCCACCAACCTCGAAATCCCCGGCTTGTCATGACATGGTGGCCAGGTGTGGAGAAGACCTAGGCAGCTGAGATGGCATGAGTTCAAGCCCCTTCCCCGTCTGCATATTGGGGGATGTGGCCAAGCTATTAACAGGGTACCACTGGTATCTCAGCAGTCCTCCCACTTGCCCCATTGGGTCTGTAGCCTTCCCACAAGGCAGGGGTTCCCTGTCCCCAACATCAGGGGCAGGGTCCATCCCTAAAGCCCTTCTGAACATCCAGGCAACAGCATGTGCTCGGCAGAGGGGCTCACATGCCCACCCTCCAAGAGCTGACATTGCCCAGCATGGCAGGGTTTCCTTGAGGTCCTAGCTTAGCCTCCTCTGACCCTCAGCTCCTGGGGTTCTTTCCTCCCCAGCCCCAATCTGGGTTTGAGGAACTCTCCCAGGGCCCCCCTAAACCTTCCTCCACCCCGACAGGAACCTCAACTCCTCCCCAATGGGCCCATTCACCAGGATCAGTCCCACATCCCACACTAGGCTGCTCTGAGCCTTCCTTCCCTGGGAGCTCGTGGCATCCTGGAAGTCCACATGGGGTCCAGACAGGAACCCCGACTCCACCCTGTCAGCCTGACCTCGGGGACATAGCTAGGGCCTGAGTCATGGGGTCATTGGGCAGGCTAGACACAGGGTCAACGCCCCACACCCGCACACCTGCTCTTAAGCCTCTGCCTCTGCTCGCCTACCCTCTGCACATTTGCCTGGGGGCCTGGGGCCACCTGGTCCCCACCCAAAGATGGTGAGAAGGGGGATCCCAGCAGTCCCCTCCACAATGCACCCCTACACCAGCCCATGGGTCTCCCCACCGGTGACCCTGTGTCCCCGTCCTGTCCCAGGATGGGCTGCAGCAAGAGAGCTGCAGAGGGCACCCCCCACACCCAGAGGCGGGCCCAGCAGGTTTTTCAGGTCTGCCCTTCTGACACCACAGCCCAGAAAGAAATTCCTGGCTGTAATGACTGTTTACAACCAAGACACCTCACCTGGGTGGCACCCCAACACCTCAGTGGGACCCCCATTTCCACATCCTGCCACCTTCAGAGCAAATACAAACTCCCAGTGTCTGGCACTGTTCCCCACACTGCCCTAGAGCCCCTCCGTCCCCACTCTAGGGGAACAGATGGGGGGCAGGCAGGTGCCGGGACGCAGTTTCTCAAGAGCCCAGTATGAGCTTTCCTAGGGGGCTGGGCCCCGGGTTGAAGGAGGGCATGAGGTACCCCTGCAGGGGAGAAAGGGGGAGAGGAAGTAGGGGAGTGGAGAAGGAGGACTCTGGCTTCTCTTCTCCCCCATCCCTTCCCCTTGTCCACTTCCGGCAAGGGATCGGCCTCGTGCCAGGAAAGGAAACTGGACATTTTGGGCTTCGCCCCTCTACTCAGGCGCTCCTTCCTCGCCGTGCCTCTCGCACAGACCTGGGTCTCTCCTGCAGGGAACTTCAGTACACCCCATACTGCTCTCCCCACACCCCTCGCCCTGGGCCCACTGTTCCCAGGTGCTCACCAATGCCAGAGAGGTGCTGTGGAGTGGCCTCAGGTACCTCAAAAAAAAAATAGTCGTCTCAACAAGGCCCTGCTCCGGCTGATAGTGGCAGTGAGCAGGGGTGAGCACAGTGGTGGATGCCTAGGCCGCCTCCCACTAGGCGATGGCCCAGCCTACCTGGCCAGGGACTGGGCCGGCCCATATCTTTTAACCCTTGCCTGCCTGCCACCAGGGCTCAGGCCACCCTTAGGGGCAGTCTTGGGGCCAGGTCCCCTCAGGGTGTCCAGCAAGGCCAAGAAGAGAGCCTGACATCCCCCCTCCCTGCCAGACACCTAGCAGAGGACAGAGGAAGAAGGGATAAGGGTCATGGGAGCAGCGGCTGTCTCTGGTGCTGCCCAAGCACCCAGATCAGACCCTGGCCACCCAAAGGAACTACTTGGGGGCTGAGGGATGGAGGTCTGGGGAGTTGTTAGGCACACAGGAGGCCTTGGGTGTTCATTGGGTGTGTGTCTCTTGGCAACACATCACATTTCTGAGGCCCCTACCCTTTCCTCCCAGGGCAAGGAAGGGGTGGGAGAAGGTCTTAGGGCAAATCCTACCCTCACTGGGGTAGAAGTTCCCCAAGATGGAACATATGAGGTTACCTTTTCTAAGGAGAACATGTCTCAAGACCCTACCACCTTCTGCAGCTCCAGAAGAAATCATCTCAGCAAACGGAAGACACACACAGGCGATTTAATCCCTCCTGACCCCTACAAACCTGGGAGGATGGCACGGCCCCAGCTCCTCATAGCCAGCTTGTAGAGATGAAAGCTGGGGCTTGCAGAGGTGAAGAGGCCCGATTCTGACCAGAGAGGCATAAGAGCAGGTAGAATCAGAATTCGGGGGGGCTGGGTCCTGGGTTGCAGGCTGACAGAGGCAATCCCTGCAAGGCAGGAGGAGTGGGCATGGGGGCTCATGCTTCTTCACATCCAGGCTGAGGCTCTCCCAGTCCTCTCCCTATGCTCCTGGGACATTTCTGGCCAAGAGTCAAGGAAATGAAGGACTCTGAGCCTCTACGAGGTCCTGCTTCCTCCACACCACCACCTGGGCTCTGGGCCGACCCCAACACACACCACACATCCTGCGCTCCATTTGGGACCATCTGCTCTGTGACCTCAGGGCCCGAGCCCAACCCAGGCCCCGGCAGCCCACACATGATGCGAAAGCACAGAGTAAAGAAAGCTCCCTCACCACTTGGCAGGGGGGCCAAGCCTGGAGAGGAACTTGCTCTGTACCAGCAACGCCCAGTGTATGTGCTATTGAGGCCTCCTGCCACCCTGCCCACCTTTCTTCCTGGGTGTGAGATTTCCTGCATGGGACACAAAGGCCCCTTTCATCACCCTCCTTCTCCCTCCTCTCACTGCCTGCGGCTGGTGGAGGCAGCAGCCACGAGGTGGGCAGCTGGGGGCTGGTGGGGAGTGTCTTCTCAGCCATGGCCTCGCTCATCTCTTAAGGGACACCAAGGACATTGGGAAGAGGGATGTTTATAAAATTAGAGCCGAGAGGGAAAGGGTATCTGGCCAGCAATGCCAACTGAGTCTCAAGGCTAAGGTTTCCTCAACTGTAAAACTGGTAAACAGTACTAACAGAGCCAACAGAGGCCAAAGTAACTTTGGAAGACATTTCAAAGTGCAAGGAAACTCACACCACATTATTAACGACCGTTAGTAACTACAATCACAAACTCATGCAGAGGTGGGCTGGTTCAAGAGGAAGGAGGGAACAGCAGGTAACCGGGCCTCTTGGGCCAGGCAGATAGGTGGGGCAGAGTCACCCACACACATCACTGCCCTAGTCCACAACTTTTAATACCCTGGAGGACGGCCACCTCTAAGGCCCTCCCCAGTGGGGACCTGAGCCTCCTGTGGCCTCCTGTAGGGCTAACAAGTGGTGGGTCTGGGATTCAACCCAGCTCTGCCGCTTAGTGGCTGTGTGACTGCTTGGACATATCACTTAACCTCTCTGTACCTCAACGTCCTCATCTATAAAATGGGGGTAGTATATGCCTCCCAGGAGGGTGGTGAGCGTGACATGAACTAAGACATTTAAAGCTCACTTGGGACAGTGCCTGGCCCGAGCTGAGTGCTCAGTATGTATTGGCTGTCATACATAATCACAAGTACTCCTCTCAGTCCAAAGTCAGGATTAATCACGCACACGCACACGCTCACGCACACACACACACAGAGGGGAAGAGACAGACAGACAGACAAAGGTGGTATCTCTCAGCCTTGAAACCCTCCCTACTTGCTGCCTAGACATACTTGAAACAGAGCTGTTTTCCCTCATTATCCAACCCCTCCCTACTCAAAACCAAAAATGCAGGAACCAAATCTATTCAGAAGAATTGTCCAAACTCTCACTATCCAAATACAGCAACTGAATGGATTTGGATATATTTATGAGATAGGACTGGTATATCCGTCACTCTCTGAGCTTTCCTTACTCACCAGGCAAAATACAGGAACCAAGTACATTTCTACAACGTGATACCCTTACTAATCCCAACTCTTGCCACTGGAGCACAGGGAAATGAATAGATTTGAATACATTTTTGAGTTAGAGCCATTATCCCTCATTATCTGAACTCTCCCTACTCACTCTGTAAAATGCAAAAACAAAATATACCCCCAAATAACTTGATATCTTTCACTGTCTGAACTATCCAAACTCTCCCTCTCAGAACTTGGGTACCAAATATACTGGGACAGTGTGGGATGCTTGTGTTGTTATGAAGAGGTCTGGATAAAGGCTTTGGATAAATGAGATAGGTCTGGTATCTCGTTATTCCAACTCTCACTACTCTCGATGAGAAACACAGGAACAAAACATAATTGAATGACATGTTACCTCCTCACCATCCAAATTCTCCCTGTCTGTCCTCAAAGTCAAGGAGATTCAGATAGTGAAAGAACTCTGTATTTTTCTTGTGGTTGTTATTGTCACCACTGGATGGGCCTGATTCTAACAGTGATAGCCCCCCTACAACAGACCTGCCCCACAGAGGTGGGATGGACTTAGCACCAAGATTTGTATTGCTTATTGCTGAGAAAGGGGATAAACTCCCATCCCACTCCTACCCCTACCAAGCCCTGAACCCTCTAGCCTAGAATGGACTTTTTTCAGGCTAGGAAAACAGGGATCACTGCACCTAGTGCCAAGACTAGGAGATACGGGTAAGATGTCCTAGAAGTTTCACACATACCCCCGAGTCCCGAACTCTTACATGGACAGCCCCCAACCTAGCAAGGCTGGAAACATGACCCGGACCTCACAGGCTCCCAGAGATTCACTGAATAATTCAGGGTGTTCTTTCACACTTGGGGAGGGTGTGAGGGCATAGGACCAGTTCCAGGCCCTCCTGGGACAGGGAGAGAAATGCAAGCCTTGTGTGAGCTCACTGGGCAGGGGGGTGGGGGAAATCACATGTGAAAACTCCCTCTGCTGCGCAGGGCCCACAAGGCTGCTTGCTCTTGTTCATGCTAAGAGAAGCATTTGGGATGAATTTCAGAGATTATGGGAACCTCCAAGTTCAAATGCAGGGTACAATGGGGCCCCTTTCCTTCTGGGCTCAGAGGAGATAGAAAGTGGGTGTTACAAAGGAGGGAGATCTGAACAGCATGGAGGGGCATGGTATAGGGTAGGACAGGGGCCTGGGGTAGGGACAGGATGAAGGGACAAGACAGGAAGGAGTACAGGGAACAAAACAGAATCAGAGTCATTGCAGGATGGAGGTCAGGAGGCAAGACAGAGAAGGAGCCAGGACACTGGCCAAGGGATGGGATGGAGTGAGGCTCAGGACAAGGGCCAGAGAAAAAGTAGGGGACAGTAGGGGACAAAAGAGCAGGGCAGGGGACAGGGTCAGTATAAAACAGTAGTCAGGAGACATGACGGGGGACAGGCCAAGACAGCGGTCAAAGAAAGGGATAGGGAAAAGGGCAGGTTCAAGATGGAGGTAAGGAACAGGAAAAGACCGGGACAGAATGAAGATAGGAACAAGGACAGTGGTGGGACAGGAGAAGACAAGGGAAAACAGCATAGGTTAGGGGCAGGGGCACGGCAGGCGACAAGAGGGACAGTCTAAAGCTGGTGAGCCAAGATGGAGTTCAGGAATCAGGAGAGGGACCGGTGGGATAGTATAGGGTGGGGAGAAAATACAGAAGTCATAGGTCAGGAATCAAGGCAACCTGGATCAGACTGGGGTTAGGGGGACAGGAAGGGGTTCAGGGACTGGACAAGAGTTTAGAAACAGGACCGAAACTGGGGTGCTCAAGACAAGGCAAGATGAGCTTCAGAGATAGAACAGGGTCAGGCAAGCATCTGGGGTCAGGTCAAGGATCCTAAGAACAGAACTGTACGGGGTTTGGGGTCAGGACTGGATTTAGGGCGTGCAAAACGGGGTTTGAGAATCACATCAGGCCAGAATATGGTTGGGTTAGGGGTCAGACCAGAGGTCCTGGGGTCCGGGGTCTGAGATTAAAGAAAGATGTACTCAGGTCAGGCAGGGGTCGAGAGGGAGACCACAGGGTCAGAGGTCGCGGGTGCGCGCGCAGGTACATCCCTGGTCGGCGTTTCCGGGCCTTCACCCCGCCCCGTCTCCTCCCTTCCAACCCCAGG